GTGTAGTTTTGTGTTTTACACGCTGTCGTTTGTATTTTTTCGAAATGTTCACATTTTCAATAATTTTTTATTAATATTTTTTTTATTTTTATTTAAATTACTTTCAATTTATCGGTACTGCTTTAGTGCAAGCAACTTTGGAACGGTTTATTTGTAATTTTTGTGTTTACTGCTTTGCATAGATGTATGTTTTATCTACATAATTTATACAAGTGTAAAATTTGTTGTTGTTGCTACTTTTACACCAAATAGACAGTTAATTATTGTAATTTTTCTTCATTTAGTTTTCATTTTCGGCTTTGCTTAATTCATTTAATTAACAACAACAGCTACTTAAGACAGTTAACAATTCGTTTATCTGCAACATTTGTTGTTATTGGTTTTTTAATTAAATTATCTTGTTTTTTTGTGGGTGTAAATTTTTGCACATCGCAATTTCACAGTTTTCAAAAGGCATTTCTTCACAAGGGTGGGCCATTACAACTATGCAAAAAGTTTTTCGTTTTTTTCACTTTTATTAAATTTTTATTTAATTTACTTTTTATTAAACTATGCGTCTTACAAACGTACATTATGCAATTAAAGACTTAACAAACTTAATAAATGTTGCCTGCGTGTCCAACTAACAATTACACAAATGCATACATAAATATAGTATATGTAAATAAGTGACTGTTACTTTAACTATTTATTACTGTTTTATTTTATTTTATTTTATTTTTGTAAACGTGTATGTACATATGTATGTGTGTTGCAGTTGTTAGTAGCGGAATTGTGCGGTGCTTCAAAATATTGACAATTTTACTTAACGAAGACACACACAAAGTTGTGGCAATTATTTTGCACATAAGTGTATTTAAGCATCACCAAACATTTACATAGTACTAGTAAAAAAATACGCTATTCGATTGCATTAGCCGATGTTTAGTATATATATGTATATGTGTCGCTTCACATATACACATCTTTTTATATGTGCTGCTGTATTTTTCGTATATCCTTAATTACAAATACATACTTCTTTTTAATAATTATTTAAATTTAAATTTATGTGAAATTTCTTGTTTCCATTACAATCACATACGTGTAATCACATAAGTTTTTTTTTTTCATTTAATGCTAGGATTATTTTGTTTTTGTTTAATTCGTTTGCTTATTTCACTATGTTATATTCACAGCTCATTTGGTTAAATTTGTTATTGCAAAATAAAAAGTTGTAACTTTTAAGGTAAACACAGGCGCACACACACACATGCAAAATACATACATTCATATAAATATATACATATGTATATCATAACCTAAAATGCAAAACAACGTATCAGCAAAAAAAAAAAAAAATGAAAATCGTTGTTAGATATAATAACCAATATATAACGATTTTACAACCAAAACTCGATTTTTTTACGAATACGAGTGTATGATAACCATTTTATAACGAAAACTCTAATTTTGTTTTAATATGAGTTAATGAAAAATAATATATAACCAATAAGATAACCAACATATAACCAAAACTCAATTTTCGATTCAATATTAGTGGTTTCTATCGGTTAAATCGTTTTTCGTTCGTTATTTTGCATTTAAGGTGACAATATGTATGCATATACATACATATGTGTGTGCGTTTATGCATGTGTGCGCGCTGCTTACATATCGACATACAGTGAATGTGTTATGCATAAAATATAAAATACAACATTACTTTTTTCCTATAATATACTGTTTATTCACGGTTCATTTTATTTTTTTTTAATTTGCTTTTCACTCAAATTGCGTGTTTTCCATTTCATTCTTGCTAATCATCGAAATTTTGCCTGTCAACTAAATATTTGCTATAATTATTTAATTTATTTTTCCTATATATAATATTGTATGTGTGTGTATATTTGAAAATATATTTGCATTTATCTATTATAATGGTTAAATAAAACGTCAAAATTCAGCAGCTTTGCTTGAATGACTTAAGCTGGCGGGTGTTTGCATACAAAAGCATATACATACATATGTATGCATCGATAACGGTGCGCATATGCGTTTTCTATTATTAGTTTGTTAAATTTGTGCTGTTAGAATTTTTTTTGCTTTGCTATAATAAACTTTAACAACACTTGCTATAAAAAAAAGAAAATCATTTAAAAAGTTTTGACTAACTTACGTACAAGCT